ACGCAGCGGGTAGAGTTGGCCGACTCGGTCACCTGGCCCTTGGGGCAGTAGCACCGTGCACCCTTCGGCGTCAGCTTGCAGTTGTAGCTGCAGTTCAGAGCGGCACAGGCTGCGTTCTGTTTATCTATTAAGGCGAGTTAGGGGGCGTTACTAATTATAGTAAGTGTTATTAGTGGTCAGGACTTACCACATAGCAGCTCATCGTTATCACAGTCCCAATGGCCGTCGCAGAAGCGGGACAACTCCAGGCAGTCGCCGTTGCGACATTCGATCTCGAAGGCGCGGCACTTGGGTGCAGCACCCTTTAGACCTGGTCACCAAAATGAAATAAATAAATGGGGATACTCCCAGACATATATACAAATTGGGGAGGTGATTCTCCAGTTTTTTTCGAATGGATATGTGCCTCGCCTTACTTACAGTTGGTTTCATCGGATGTGTCGCCCTTGCCGCAGTCGTACTCCCCGTCGCAGAGCCAATTTTCCGGAATGCAGTGCCGGCTTTGCTTGCAACGAAACTGTCCCTCGTTGCACTTGGGAGCCTTTTCTGCAGAGAGAGAAATAAATGGTATAGTTTAGGGATAAAAATATACAGGTCTATAGGTCCATAGTACATAGACATACTTTAAAACCTTCTTAATATTTATACCCTTGCAGAGGGTATTATAATTTTGGTCAAAAGTGTGCAACGCAGTGAAGGAGACATCTCCGACCCTATAAAGTATATATATTCTTGATCAGGATCACCTCCTGAGTTGATATGAGCATGTCCGTCTGTCCGTCTGTCCGTCTGTCCGTCTGTCCGTCTGTCTGTCCGTCTGTCTGTTTCTACGCGAACTAGTCTCTCAGTTTTAAAGCTATCGTCTTGAAACTTTGCACACACCCTTCTTTCCTTTGCACGCAGTATATAAGTCGGAACGGCCCGGATCGGCCGACTATATCCTATAGCTGCCATATAACTGATTGATCGGAAATGGTATAACTTTGGTGTTTTTAGAGTTAGAGAGTTCAAATTTGACATGTGAGCTATATTTGGCAAAACATTACGTCATGCCAAATTTCATAAGGATCGGCCGACTATATCCTATAGCTGCCATATAACTGAACGATCGGAAATGACCCAACTTTCGTGTTTTTGAAGATAGAAAGCTGGAACTTAGTACAGATTTAATTCTTGGTCAGTTGATCCAACCTACCAAATTTCATTAGGATCGGCCGACTATATCCCATAGCTGCCATATAACTGAACGATCGGAAATGGTATTTGGTAGAAATATCAACTTTCGTATTTTTGAAGATAGAAGTTTGGGACTTTTTTTAGATTTTGTATTGTAATAAATTGGATTATATATTCCTATTCCCATAAGGATCGGCCAACTATATCCGATGTTTGCGATATATATCCGGTTTTAACTGCAAGGGTATATAAACTTCGGCTCCGCCCGAAGTTAGCTTTCCTTTCTTGTTTTATTTTAATTTGTTTAAGCCATTTCTCTCAGTGTTTAAACCAGAAGCCACTACCAGAACTGAACACTGTTCACTCCCGTACAATAACAATAACCGAAATGAAGATTTATGGAAGGGTTTGTTAGTGGTTCGGGGCTATGTTGGTTCGTTGGTTCGTTGGTCCGCTTTCTGGCCAACAAAAAGTTGCTATTTGCTAGCACTGTTGTTCCTACAAATCGTTGAATTATTTCGCGAGATATCGTAAATAAAAGCCAAACAAGAGCAGTTGTTGTGGGATAACTTTCAACGGATACCAGCCAACTTTTAACTATGTAGCTCTTTAAGTGCAAGATCCTTAAAATTATTACAAACTATAGGATAGCCAGAAGGAAACCCCCCTTCTATCTTTAGTTTACTCCCTTTTTTCCTTTTTTCCTATTAACCAATTAGCTCTGCTCCTAATAAAGTGGATGACTTTTATTTCCATTTTAAGAGGGTGGCAATGAGCAACCCACCCACCCCTTGAGAGACCATCCACGGAAAAAAATAAGAACTGTGACAAACACGCTTCGCTGGATGGGTTGACTTTGCATTCTCAGTTAGTTAAAATAAATCCCCCTGGCACTGGAAAATGTTTAACAATTGCCCGGCAACATCATTTTGGAGCATTTTGTCCAAAAGGGGCCGGGAGTTGATTAAATAAATGCCGGACGGCCATCCAACCTTCTTGCTCCCCGTCTACCGGCCACCCTTGACAAAAAATTTACGCTCCTGGTTTTTGTATTTATTCGGGCCTTATTCGGAGCACCATCCTCATCCTTGGTCCTCCATCAAGGGGAATAAAAAATTTAAACTTTACTCTGGACCCCGTAACTGCATGCCCTTGGGCTTATTACGTATTATATCCGTGTCCGCCACTGTCGGCATGCAAATTGCCACGCGAATGTGACTCCGGGTGACTGGAGAGTGGGACAGAGTCGGCGGAGTCATGGACACGTCCATTGGTTGTCTCTGGAGTTTAACCTCTTGGCAAGCAAAATATTTTTTGGCCGTTCCCATGTGTCACCAATGTGGCTTTTATGGTTATAGTCGCGCATGTCGGTCGGATGTAGCATTTTCCTTTCTTCCCGACCCATCTGCTGTCACGGCATTGTCATTGCTTTCTCTGATTTGGACCACCGATGGGTGGAGAGATGGGTGGAGAAGGTGGAGAAGAGTATAGCAACGCGTTATTTGAATTCTTCGCTGAGAATTCTCGTTTTATTTGTGTCAAACAATTTGCATCCTCCCGATGGAAAGGCTCAGTCGGGGAAACAGGAAGATATTATAATGTTGCTATATGGCAACATTCCATTTGAAGTGGTGTGGCATAAGAAATGAGAGAGACCTCATAAAAAAATATATACCCAAGAACACTTGCAAAATATAACTTGAATTTAAAGCATCCCTATGACCTATTTATTTAATTTATATATTTTTTATTTGGGGAATAACAAGTACCATCTCACACACCATCTCCCCAAATCCATTTAAAAGTTTCGTATAATTTCATTTAAAATTTATTTGGAAGAGGAAACTTTTTTGTCGCTAGTGTAACGAGGCCAGTTTAAATGCAATATATCAAGAGACTTATATATATGACATCACTTTATAAACTGGCATTTGTTTGTGTGCCTGTGGGTTCCACCAGTTCAGTTCGGTTTAATTGAAATTGCGGAGCGCGGAAGCTTCCCATCGCTTCTGGATGGAGTAGTCTCAGGGCCTGGGAGGGGTCGGTTTGGCAAATGCAGATGCAGACAACGATGTGCCAGGCACATTTATTATAATCTGTTGCATTAATATTTGCCGACAATTTGTCGTCTGTTGTCGTCGTTGCCACTCGCTCTCGATTCATTTCCTTGCCAACTCGCTCCCTCGCCTAGCACCATAAAAATGAAATTAAAAATGCCAGAAGAAGTCTCTCGGCCAGCAATTGTTTCAGTTAGCCCTGGTATGTTGTTTTTATTGGAATCTGGCTGCCAACAACCAAGAAAAATGAGATCGAAAATAGCCAGCCATAGAAGCCGACATTGGAAATACTCTTCCTTGCTTAACTCTGCCCTTTTCTAACTTAATTATAGAGACTCTCATGTAGGGTCTTGAAGAATGTCTACCCATTTATATTAGTGGGCTGGCCCACCAGCAGCCATGTGTCCTTTTCCACTTATCATCCCGTTGTGTCCTTCCTGGGCCATTTCCAGTCCTTTAAGGACGAAAAAACGCTTAAATTTCAACTGACAATCGACCAGTTTTAAAGTTCTGCTAGGCTGGCTTTCAATTTCGGTTCAGTTCGGTTTCTAATTGCATTTGGTCTCCCGTTTTTGGGGTTTTTGGCCAGAATTAGTAGCCGAATGAGCGGGGGGGGGAGCTCTGTATTTTTGGCCATGTATTTGCGGTGAATTTTTCGGGCCACCCACCTGTCATTAGGCGGCACACTGTGTATGTGTATATGTGTGTGTTTTGGGCCCAAAAAGCGTTCTGACCAAACAGTCAAACCAATAATAAAGCAATCACCGACTGCTAATGTCCCCAACGGGACGGCAGGAGGTTTTGTGGATTCCGGCTGGGCTTACAAGGATCAAAGGGAGGGGATGTGGGATGGTGAATACTCACCGCATTCGCTGGTCTCATCGGACCTATCCGGACAGTCCGCCTTGGAGTCGCATTTCCAGCGCATCGGTATGCAGAAGCCATCGTTGCATGTAAAGTACGAGGCTGGACAGGGACCTGCAATCGGATAGATGACAGAATAATGGTCACTCAGTGCAGTATGAATGGGATAGGACCCGGAGACAGCACATCGATTCATACGAGTCTTTGCCAAGTTTGAATTCTAATATGTATGGCAGGTGGGGAAGGTTTAATAATTGAAATATTTGTGGTAATCGTAAGGGGCTACACAATGCCTTTGATGTTGAAAGAGGCCTTTAAGGATTTCGATTTAATATCCTTTACACAAAAAAAAAAAAACTAATCAAATCCTCCATCAAAGCCGAATTAATTATAATTGAAATCTGTTTACCGGCAGATGCGAGCCATAGGTTGCCAAATTATATTTTCATTTAATATGCAAAGTAGGTGGCATATCCACACCACCCACTGGCCCATTCTTCTTCCTGAAAAGCTGTCGGATAATTTCAATATTTATGCAGTTGTTGAAGCCCCAGTAGCTGTTGCCACTGCTACGTGCTTACAATTAAACATTAACAACAAGCCTCCCTCGTCCCCCGGCCGTCTATTGTTGTTGGCCAACTGTCGGCTGTCGGCCAAGCTAAAGTACGTGACTCTGGGGGCAGTGCATCATTAGGCCGTGTTTCCAACTCGTGGCAAACAATAAAAACAACTAATTTAAATTTGCTTAGAGCATAAATAATAAGGTGTCAGAGAAGGTTCTCTTCCCAGAACAGAAATAACAATTACTTCAATTTTTGGGGACTGCTTTCCAAACTCAAACAAAGGTCTTCAGCTGTCGAAACATGGTAGGCCCTCTAACCCCATAAAAGCCATAGTTCGGGCCAGAAACCAAGACACAACCCACCCACCAGCCATGTCGAGCAAGTGGCTGATTCTATGCGCCCTGGTGGCACTCCTTAGCATCGGCACCGAGACCTGGGCCAAGCCAGGCGCCAGACGCACCATCCAGGCCAGACCTGATCCTGAGCTGGTTCAGCGCCTGAATGCCCGCTACTATGCCCAGGATGATGAGGACGGCGATGATATTCTAGAGCACGAAGAGGACCTGGCCGATGACAACGAAGAGGATGATGACGAGGAAGCTGATGATGCTGAGGAGGAGAAGGAGGAAGAGGAGGAGGAGCACGAGAAGCCCAAGGACCAGACTTTAATCCACAAGCAGTTGTCCACCAAATCCGAAACAGTTCCCCTGAAAAAGGAGCACCGGGAGGTGGAGGTCGCTGAGAACGAGGAGGATCTCCAAAATCTCGACTATGACGAGGACGAGAAAGAGGCTCTCGCTGAGGGCATCGACTCCCCGGTAAATGAGGGCCGCAACAACCGACGACGGGCCGGCAGACGGGGAGGCAAGGGCGGCCGCAAGGGGCGTGGCAGCCGGAACCGTAGGCGTGGCAATCGCCGTTGTGGCGGTCGTGGCAAGCGCGGGCGACGCGGCCAAAAGCGTCGTTCTCCCTCCAAGCGAAGCGGTAACAAGCGAAAGACGGCTAACAAGCGGAAAACGGCTAACAAGCGACAGGGTCAAAAGCAAAAGACCAACAACAATAACAACAACAAGCAGACTGGAGCACCTTCCACCAAAGTGGCTTAAAAACCAGAAAGACTAGGAAGACCTTTCCCCAAATTAGAATAAAAATAATAAAAAAATATAAATAAAAAATATATATATTTTTTTAAATATTTAAATTTTATTCATAGCCATTATATGTCAAATTCAGAAACCTATAGCAACCAAAATACTTGATGGTTATAGGATAATGCCACTCCACTGTCCTCTGCTTCATCCCAGCTGGACACTGTGATCTAAGGACACAGGACTTCCTATCGCCATCCATTATATAACCATCTCGGCAGGCACAAGGTCCTCCACATCCCACAGGACAAGTTCTACTCAAAAATTCGCAGGTTTCAGGACAAGGACTGGGGCACGGCTCCCAGGTGGCATTTAAAAAGGAACAGTCTACCTTGGACAGGTCTATTTTTGCAGAATTTATTAATAAAATAGTAGAGATTAAATAACTAAAAATAAATAATATTTTAAACATTATTTAAAGAAGGAAAAAGATGAAATGAATAAGAAAATAAAGTAGAAGGAAGCTGTAACTAATTTTATTGAACTGTAACTATATAAATTAAGGTTTATAAGCTCTTATTGTATGCTCTATATTTTATTTATTAATATATATATATATTATATATAGACTATTTCCCTACTATCCACTAATATTGCCTTGTATATTCGTTCGTAAAAATTTTATTGTAGCATACTTTTCGGTCCAGATACTTTCCCATTTCGCCATTTTCGCCAGAGAAAGTTTTTATCGCAAACTCATACAGGTACAGGTATACAGGTGCGTGATTTTGTTGGTATGCCAGGTAGCAACCGCAAGTCATAAATTTCGCCAGCTATTCTGCTTTTGTTATAGTACTTTTTTTATGTATTTATGTTGGTCTGTGGATGTCTGACCTCATAAATTATAGAACGCTGCAATTTCGTTTAGCGGCTTTTGCAGTTTTTCAAAAATTAGTTTTACGCCTCTTTTTAGTCGATAGTTTTAGAACGTCGCCCATCATAATAGTAGAGGGCCACTGACTATATCCATTCGTGATGGTGCATATAAAATTCCAGACAATTCCCAACTCCAATGCACTGGCACTGCACTCAATTTCAGTTTATTTTCCCTTCAGCTTATCTTTGGAATGGAGCTGCCTTGGCCATGGGGTTCGTTTACCTGACAGCGTCATCATGTCCATCGTTTGTTCAAGGATCTACCACCATCCAGAACAAGCACCATTCTCTCAATTAAAACTAGAGAGGAGCTTTCTGGTTATTCCAGTTTCCAAAAATAACTCTTTATAAAATTAAAGAACTCTTTAAAGGATTATTATGATTTGGAAACCACTTCCTCATTAAACTTCTTATCAATTTTATTTAAAAAAAATCTGCAAAATTCCTTTAAAGAACCAACCCTAGATGGTTGGCTCTGTTTACTCTGTCTACCTGTAGCCAATTTCGAGTTGCTCTTATCTGTCTGGACTGCTGCTGGCAGTTGGTCAGCATAATAGAATGGGGGAGGATGCGAGAAGGATACGACTGTGGGGAACAGAAGGATGTGGGTGGGCCAGCCATCGTCCTGTGGCACTCGTCCTGTACCGGTGCAGGCCAGACTACGACGGTTGCCTGCCACTGACATTTACCAAATCAAATAGAAATTTTAATTGACTCTTGCCTGGGAGGACGTGCCAACGCTATAGTTTCTAAAGCACTGAAAGAAAAGGTTTTATGAAATTTTCTACAAAAATAGAGTCTTGTTGTAACAACCTAGTTTATCTTTAAAATATATTGTTCTCTGTGTCTCTTTTTGTCTTATTAAATTGCTGCCCTTTAACACCATTGACATGCTATTACATTGGCTTTAAGGCCTTTGTCCTGGCCATTTGCTCTGATTTTGTTCAGCTCGACCTCAGCCCCGTTTGTGGCAATAGCTGGAAAAAAATAACTAAAGGGGTTAAGCGCCATTTGGGCTCGAAGCGAAATTTGCATCTGTCGCCGTCGCGAATTATGTGGGCGCACGCGGAAAACAGAAAGTTGCCAGGAGCACCAGATCCTCCTGCCTGCCATCCTGCCCCATCCTATTTGTCAACAACTTTGAGTGTCGTTCTTTTTTTTTTCGACTTTTTTGTTTGCTTTTTGGGTCAAAAAGATGTGCCAGTGTGTGAGTGTGATGGTGTATCTGTGTGTAACATAGTTTTTCACTTAATTAGCGCGTTGAATGACGCGTTGACAGTTGGCAGGAGTACGTGCCACGCCTGCGGGGTATGCAACACAACACACAATTTTCCAGATTGTTGTCTAGTTGTTGTCTTGTTGTTGTTGGGACTGGGGCACTGGGGTTCTCCGGATAGCGTGTTTGTCTGAACTTTCAACTTCCAGCGCAGCGCTTTCATAATTAAGGACAATGAGAGGTTCCTGAATGGTTATTAAAGGCATGTTTGTTCTATTCCTAATAGGCCCTTTACACCTTTGTTAATAAATTGCTTTAAATTTCCTACTCACTTGGCTTAAACACAAAGTACTTGTACTATAATTGCCACTTAAATTTCGAACAAATTTTAAGACTTGTCTTAAGCTCGAAACTCTGAACACTTTACCCTCGAATCGAGTTCATGAATATCGTAAACATTTTCACTGCCAGCCGGCAAATTTCCGCTGTCAGCTCGTGCAATTTACAGTTCACACATCACTTTTCCTTGGTTTTCCCACGGCTTTCCCTCCACCTCGCTCGGCATGTCGACACTTTTCCTCAGATTTTCCTCGTCTCCTTTGGGGGTTTAATGATAAGCCTCGATGCTCTTGCTTTCGAGTTGCTTTTAATGAGTGATGCCCTTTAAAAATTGATTCGTTATTAAAAGGATTTGCAGGATAAGTATTTACACAGTCCTTTTATTAAAAAGCTTATCATTTGTCATTTTAAAATTATTCTATATTCCAAAAAAAAAAAAAAAGGACAGGTGACAAAGCGAATTGTTGGCGAAACAGATTTCCGGCTGGACCATGGTCAAACAACAAGCCATGGAATAACCGGAGGAAACAGGAAGCCCGAGCTGCATCCTGTGGGATCCACAGTGCCATCTGTCCGTGTGCCACACCCACACCCACCCACAAATATGGCGGCTTCCGTTGGCATTTCAACTTCCTTTCTCTGCGGTCTCCATTTTCATTTATATCGACAGCATCGCATTTTGATGGAATATCCCTCGACGGAGGTCCTTCGTCCACCATCCTCACTCTCCCTCTGACGGGCTCCTATGTATAATTTAATGCACTGATGTGCGCATAATGAGGGTCCTGATTGACATAAATGTACCTTAAATGCACACGGGAATCGGGGCCAAAAAGAGTTGGCCACAACAGTCATAACTGTCATAATTGAAGGGCTATGATGTTCAGAGTCAAGGATTACCTCAACTCTCTAATGAAAAATTAGGTATTATTTTTTAAAATTTAAATCTCGTTCTCTGGTCTAGCTTTTCTGCCAAAAATTTAAGCTGAAAGTTGGGCAGGAGAATGCAGTTTTTTGTGGTGGTATCCTTCGGGCCAGAGCCATGTCCGGTGTTGGCTTGTTTGCCGTCGTTTTTGGGTTGCTGGCTCGGTTCGGTTTGTTGTCTGTGGCCGTATGTTTTCGGCACTTAAATCGAGTTTATTACGTGCTTCCCAGCTCGGCCAAATGGCCAAAAACAGAGCTTGGGCGGTACACTCCTAAAAGCCAAATCACTTAGAACACAAAACAAAAATAAAATAAAACTTTAAACCCCACAACTTAATTTTTAGTGTTTTGTTGGCAACAACCACGGAATCCTGCCAGTAAATGAGTGTTTCGTTTATTAAATCTAATTGTTTTTTGAAAGCCTCAAAGTTTTCAAATAGAAAACTTTCGCCAGCCATTATGGTTCAGGTTCGAATGTACAGTCTTTTGAGTTAAAATTATAAGCCAGTTTATGCTATCCAGAAATTGAGATATTCTCTTGCATCCGTATGGACCATAAAAAGTTGCAGCATCATCAACGCTTGTCAAGGGACATGGAAATTGAAAAACAAAAAACCTAGGAAGGGGATAGGGGATAGAGAAGTTCTACTGCCACTCGGCAGTCTCCAAAAGTTTCTCGTTGCATACCAGGAAAAACTTTGTAGCAAATATTTAAAAGAACTTCCCATAGTGTAGACTTTATTGCCAAAAAAGGCCAAACTTTTGTTAATGAGACGCACAGCGAATAGCTTCAACACCTTTTCTGACAAATGAAACTATTATTTTAAAAGGTTTTATTATTATTTTGATGCTAAAATGCCAAGGAAATTAAAAAGAGAATTAATTAGAATTCATTTGTTAGCAAGGATGTTAGCTCCTGTCGAATGATGATTAATAGTAAATGAATTCCAGAGAAGGGAAATTAAACAAAAAAAAGCTGGATATGCAAAACAATACAAAACGTAAAAAAATCCCCAGACTATGCAAAACTTTCCGGGGCATCGTAATTCTAGCGTCTGAAAAGTTTTCCCTTCCATCGAGTCCAGGAGCCGTGTTGCCTGCAAGTTTCGGGTTGGAGTTTGAGTCAATAACTTAAAGCACTTGATGCCTTTTGCAGCCTCAACCTCATCCTTTATCCCCAGCATCCCCATCATCATCATCCTTGTCGTGTGCCTGCAGTCCTATTCAATCTCCCAGTGGATGTTGGAAATTTCCTTCATAAATGTTTATAAACACAATTTTCTAGTTGTGGCAAAAGTTATACTATTGGAGGGCCTTCCCACCCTGTCTATGATTTATATATAAGCGATCATCAATCTTCTTTAAATGACAAACACACACTCACAGGACATTGGTGCAGCTCCTGTTACTGCCAGTCGAGTTGTGCCGAACAACAGAATCGCTTTTTGTCTTTCATTGATTTCCAAACTCCAAAGGCTGCAAATTTCTGTCCAGGCAGGAAGGAAGGATGGCAGGACGAGGCGGAGCAGTTGATGTGTTGTGGCTTGTCGTGTCTGTCATTGTCATGTTTTTGTCGAACAAGAGGACAATGAATGCATTTTCAGCACCAACATTTATTGGTAGAACCAGAACCAGAACCACAGCAAATGGCAATCAATCGATGATTTCCATTCA